TACTTAAAAACAAACAAACAAACAAAAAAACGCTCTTATTCTCTGTTTGCACATTCCATTTTGAGGAACATTTCTTGGAACATTTGCCCAGTCAGCCTTGATGTTAAGGGTTAAATTTTAAATAGAAAACATAATACTAATACAAAGGAAAAAAGAGTTCAGCTGTAACTTCTAAAATCTGAGCTCATTGTGCCTTAAATTCGTCTCAGATACTCTGTTATCTAAGCAACAATGTGTTTGGTATGAAAACCGGTTTTGCATGCTAAACCTAAGTTACATGCTGTTGAATGGAACCTTTCAGAGAAGGAAAGGAAGCCAGAAGTGTGGCTTTTAGTTCTTCGTTTCCTTGAGCCAAAACCTCCTCCTACAATTTTTCTAAATATTTGTTTAACTCTGTTAAAGTTTATTCATTCTTTTGAAAATACACTAAATACGTGAAACTGTTTGAATTTTTAGCTGGTACTAAAAAAGTTAGAATCACATTTTTGCATAATATTTCATAGGAGAAAAACACTTTTAGTTACTGTGATTGTACACACATGATCATTCGCGTGTGAATTGTTTTGTTAGAGATGACAATAAAGTTAAAAACCAACTTTTCTGTGTTCTGGATAAGTGAGGGGGTTGGTGTAAAGTTTTGTTCTGTCTTTAGTATGTTTGGAGCTAACAGATAAAGTTTAGGCCAGCCTTTCTATGCCAAATGAAATTACAATATGTGTTAGTGAATATGTTCTAAATACAATTAAGACGGCAATCCATCCTTCCCCCCGGTACTTCCACTCCACGAGAAGAGGAGAGGGACAGAAGAGAACGGGGCTTGTCATGTTAATGTTTTTCTTAAATGTCACAACTGAGAAATTGTAGTCATTGAAATACCTCTTGAAAATATGAGAAAGGGGAAAATCAAACTCCTCTGCCATGCGCCAGGCCACTTCTCTTCACTCTCCTTAGAAAACCAGCTTTTGGAATTCATTTTCAAATGAGGGTTTGAGTCCTGTGAGTTAAAATATATGTGAAAGAATGGACTTTGACATCACTTGGAGTGTAAAACCACTTTGCTTACTTTTAGGATCTTGCATGTCCCAGGTCGTGGAGTCCTAACTTGACAAGTAGCCTATTTTTTTTTTTTTAGATGGAGCCTTGCTCTGTTGCCAAGTTGGAGTGCAGTGGCGCAATCTCGGCTCACTGCACCCTCCACCTCCCTGGTTCAAGCGATTCTCCTGCCCCAGCCTCCTGAGTATCTGGGATTATAGGCGTGCACCACCACGTCCAGCTAATTTTTGTATTTTAGTAGAGATGGGGTTTCAACATGTTTGCCAGGATGGTCTTGATCTTCTGACCTCGTGATCCACCCGCCTCGGCCTCCCAAAGTGCTGGGATTATAGGCGTGAGCCATTTCTCCCAGCTGGCAGGTAGCCTTTTTAATAGGGTAAGTTGACTTGACTGGGACTTTGACGTCAAGGTCCTTGAACTGAAGAAAGTTCTGTTCTTGCCTTAGAGCTTTTAATGATTTTCTCCTGACTTGTATTCTTATCAGTGATTGCTAGTTAGAGGGCTCTCAGTAGACTACTTAGAATTACTGGATTCCAGAAAGAAATAAAACAGAGTTAGACAGTCATAGATGATCATTTGAAGAAGATTGTTGCTCTGAAATAGGTCAAAATGGTTTAATTAGGCATGTTGACCATCGGTGTAAATGACTTGTACAGATGATTTATGTTAGCTACATTTTATTTTACAGTTAATCCCTGTTTTTTCCCCCAAGCTGTTGGATCTCAGATAAAACTGATTTCTTTTTAATTGTGGTAAATATATATAGTATAGAATTTATCATTTTAGGCCGGGTGCGGTGGCTCAAGCCTGTAATCCCAGCACTTTGGGAGGCCGAGGTGGGTGGATCACAATGTCAAGAGATCGAGACCATCCTGGTCAACATGGTGAAACCCCGTCTCTACTAAAAATACAAAAAAATTAGCTGGGCATGGTGGTGCGTGCTTGTAATCCCAGCTACTCAGGAGGCTGAGGCAGGAGAATTGCCTGAACCCAGGAGGCGGAGGTTGCGGTGAGCAGAGATCGCGCCATTGCACTCCAGCCTGGGTAACATGAGTGAAACTCCGTCTCAAAAAAAAAAAAAATAGAATTTATCATTTTAACCGTTCATAAGCTTATAGTTCAGTGGCAGTAAATACATTCATGTTGTCATGCAACCATCGCCCCCATGCATTTCCATAACTTTTAATCTTCTGCACCCATTAAACAATAACTCCTCATTCCCCACAGCCCCTGGCAACCTCCACTCCACTTTCTATGTGAAAACTGGGTACCCCATATAAGTGGAATTGTATAGTAGTTGTCCTTTTGTGACTGGCTTATTTACTGAGCATTATGTTCTCAATATTCATCCATATTGTTATATACGCCAGAATTTTCTTCTTCTTTTTTCTTCCCCCATTGAGATGGGGTCTTGCTCTGTTGCACAGGCTGGTCTTGAACTCCTGGACTCAAGCAGTTCTCCCACCTCAGCCTCCCAAAATGCTGGGATTACAGGCATGAGCCATGAGGTCCAGCCATGAATTTTCTTCTTTTTTAAGGTTGGATAATAGTTCATTGTATGTATAGGTCACATTTTGTTTTCCATTCATCCATTGATGGATGCTTGAGTTGCTTCCACCTTTTAGCTGTTGTGAGTAATGCTGCTATGAATGTGGGTGTATACATATCTGTTCCTGCTTTCAGTTCATAAGCATATACCCAAGAGTGGAATTACTGGGTTGGATGGTAGTACTATGTTTAGTTTTTTGAGGGACCACCATATTGTTTTCCACAAAGCAAAAATGGCTACACCATTTTACTTTCCCACTATGTTATTAACATTTTTATTTGGCTGTTTTGAAATAGTACTCTTCAGTCTTCTAATACTCTTCTACTTCTCTGTAGTCAGAGAAATAGTCAAGATATACTTTCACTTGAAAATTTATCTAAATGCAAATGAAAGATTGTGAGATGACAGTAGGGGTGTTTGGTAGGAAGAACTGGCATTGCTAATACTTCAGTGAGTTTAGAACAACTATTTCCATGTTTGTATCTTCTATTTATTTTTGGGAGGGGCAGACAGAGTCTCTCTTTGTCGCTTAGGCTGGGGTGCAGTGACATGATCTCGGCTCACTGCAACTTCTGCCTCCCTTGGATTCTTGTGCCTCAACCTCCCGAGTAGCTGGGATTACAGGCGTGGGGGCACTGTGCTGAGCTAATTTTTTTGTGCTCCTGGTAGAGTGAGGATTTCTCCATGTTGGCCAGGCTGGTCATGAACTTCTGGGCTCAAGTGATCTGCCTGCCTCTGCCTCCCAAGGCTCTGGGATTACAGGCATGAGCCACCACGACTTACCTCAATTCTATTTTTAACCTTGTATGTACACATTTCCTGTAGTTGCAATTATACCATAGAGGGTCTTAAATTCTTTTTTACTTAGGCCTTTTCTGTTTTACCATTATGTTTATTATTTTAATAGATGACAACGTAATGCATTTTGTCTTAATTTACCGTGTAACCATTATATTTTTTGGAGGTTGCTTTTCTTTGGTACATTTGAATAATGTTACCATTGGCGTCTTCACAGAACTGTTTCTGTTGAATGATTTCCTTAGGATAAATTCTCAGTAGTGGAGGAGACTGGGACAAAGTCAATTAATTACTCATGCTCTGTGTTTCTTCAGTGCTTTTAAAGGGGGACTCATTTTGCTTACAACTGCTAACATTTGATTTCCTATGTATATTTAAAAAGCATTTGTATGTGTTATTTTGCCATTCGGTAAATTTTAAGAAGTTAACCTTACTTTGCGTCAGTCCAGTGAAAAAAATACTTTGCTGTACTGTGGAAGAAACTTGAATCGCTTAGAAGTTGTCATTGAAAATATTTGTTTATGGAAGGGAAAACTCTTTTTCCTCTTCTTAACCCTCAGAGAGCTTTCTAAATGGAATATTTTACCTTTGTCAGCACATGTAAGTTACCTACTTGTGAGAAGGGAACTGATTAACCTGTGATATTTTTGCTGAAGATTTGTATGTCATTCAATAAGCCGTATATGCTCAGCACCTACTAACGGTAGGAATCACTATGAGAGATAGGAAAGCATTGAAAATATATCCCTGGAAAAATTGGTAATGCCAAAAGATCTGTTCAAAAAAGAATGTATCCAAAAAAGTTAAGACAAGCAACAGTTACTGTGAAGCATCATATAGAGCACCATAGTCCAGGGGCCAAAGAAGTCAGTAGAGTCTGGGCAGTAGAGGAATTCCATATATTAGTGAATGTGAGATTAAGTATATAGTGAGGACATTAACACACAATTCTAATTTCTGTTAGGCAGAACGCTCCCCTACCCTGATGCCACAGCCTTTCACATTTTCTAAACCTTAGTGACCTCTGATCTCCATCTGCCTCATCAGCATTCACCAGCCTTTGCTTTTCTTTCAGTCAGTCACATGTTGGCTGAATTTATTTCACTTTGGTACTCTAGGACCTTGAGAGACAAGTTCATTACAAGGCCAAGTCCCAGGATTTCTTTAGGTTATGTTCAGGGGATGCAGATGTTCTTTGGATGACCTTTCTACTTACTAAGTTAGACTTCTGAAAGAGAAAGCTACCTGCCACAGGCTTTCCCTGAGAGCATTAAGTTGGGCAAATTTAATAACTAAATGGAAGTGTGTACATTAGGGTTCCTGGTCAAGGTTGACTCTAGGTAGTGATCCGATTTTCTTGGGATGCCTTTCTAAATATTCTTTTAGCCTAAAGCACGTGGCTTGATACTTCTGTTGATTAAGCTCATGTCTACTTATAGTCATCCAGTGAGAACGTGTAGTGTGGTGAGATGATAACTTGGTCTTTGGTCTTCATCATTTGAACTCGTTTTGGTTTTGTCTTGTCCCTTCCTTGAGCATTTTGGGTGTTTTTAATCCTATTTGGTGAATGAACCACATCAGTTTTCTGTGAAAGACCAAGTTGGAAAAAACAGAACACCCCCAAAAGGATTTATTTTTTTAGAAAATCATGGCTTACTATGGTAGAACACAATATTGTTTTCATACATGTACACTTGAAACCAAATTTTTAAAATTTGTTTTTTAAAAAAATAGCTGTGGTAACATTAAACTGTCACCAAATCAGTGTGTTCACTTGTGCTTCTGTGCTCGCCAGTCTTCTCACACCTCTTCTGGTTTCAAGTCTCAAGGCCTGACATAGACAGAAGGGCTTGCAGATTCTCTTTCTTTACAGTTCAGTCTTCAGCAACTTGAGAGCTTTCTTCATGTTGTCAAGCACTAATAGAGGATAAAAGTAGGAGAGTCAAGACACCATCATAATTTATATCAGTAGACATAATAAATCCCAAAATTGGGCACCCTATTCATTATTTAATGGGGTGATTTCTTTTTTGAGACAAGTCTCACTCTGTCACTCAGGCTGGCATGCAGTGGTGCAGTCTCTGCTCAATGCAACCTCTGCCTCCTGGGTTCAAGTGATTTCTTCAGCCTTAGCCTCCCAAGTAGTCGGGATAAGAGGTGTCCTTCACCACGCCCAGCTAATTTTTGTATTTTTGGTAGAGACAGAGTTGCTATGTTGCCCAGGCTGGTCTCAAACTCCTGAGCTCAAGTGACCTACCCACCTCGGCCTCCCAAAGTGCTGGGAATATAGGCGTGAGCCACCGTACCCAGCCTAATAGGGTGCTTTTTAATCATGAGGTGAATATTTGCTAATCTTATTGTAATTTTTGAAACATTGTATGAAATGGCTTTTGTGACCATCTAGTTTTCTAGTGTATTCACTCCTTCCAGATACTTCATCTCCAACCCTCACTTCCAAAAGAATCCTTTTATGAGCTCTATCAGCAGAAAATAATTTTGGCTTATTTAGAAGTAAATTTTAAATTATATTTAAAATAAATGTCTATTGGATATGTGCAGCTACTGTAAATTCTTTTAGAAGTAGGGGAAATATAAATAATAGCAAACCAAATGCTTTATGCACATGAATTCTTTAATCCTCATAAAACGCTATTAGAACTGTATATATGCATAATGAAACAGGCAGAGGGAGGCTGAGTAGCTCGCTCAAAGTCACACAGCTACCAAGTAATGGAGCTAGTGTTCCAGAGTCCAAACTCTAGGTCACTGTTTCTTCAACAGCAATTCATCAAAATGAGGTATGTGATCTACTAAAAATAAGACGTCCACGTGATAGGCACTGAATGGCCTCATTCACTCTTCCTACAAATATTTATTAAGTGCCTGTTCTACAAGGCATTATGATATTACCTGTATAGGAAACCTGCCTTTGAAGAGCTTAGTCTTATTAAAATGTATAGTGTTATCTCAAGAATGGCTGACACTACTTGAAATGTGCTTCCCCTCATCCAGCACACATTGGAAACGTTGCTAATGGACCATGATGATCTCTCCTGTTTCCTAGACACGGCCTCACTTTTCTTCCCAACGTTACATTCTGAGTCAGCACTGGCCAATAGAAATATCTGTGATGATGGAATTGTTCTGTGTCTGAGCATTGACACTTGTGATGTGGCTAGTGTGACTGAAGAAATGAAATTCCAACTTAAATAGCAACATGTGGCGAATGGTTACCATATTGGACAGTGCAGTTCTAGGCAGCCACAACTCATTGAAGGGAGTTGGTTCCTAGGATAAAACCCAATTTTCTTTCCGGAGGACTCATCAGATGTCCCAGCTAGGTACAGTCTTGCACTGAGGTACCTCATCTGCCTTAAGTCAGTCACTCTCTTTTTTTCCGTTCCTGGCAACCACAGGGAAGGTGATTTTCTTGGCAACCATTTGGATCATCTTTCCTACTGATCTCTAAAGTGAACCTGAATTTAATTTTAAGCTGGACTACATGCTTTCACTTTTGTTATTTAAAAAATTAAAACATGCAGATGATTACAATGATTACACTCAGTTCTGTGATAGAAGGAGTGTGTGCTACTGTACTGAAGAGAAAACCTGAAAATTAGGAAATGTCATAGAATCCTCCTAGAGAAAGATACTTAATCTGAATAATTCATCTTCCATGGAGAGTAAAAACAAATAAACCTGAGATGGAAAAAGAGTGTGATTTGCCTGAGGATGCAAGGCTAGTTAGGGTCAAACTGAGTCTGGGGTGCCCCTAAGCCTGGCTCTCTATCACTTTATTGCTATCTCTACAGCAGTAAAGGTGTTCAACCCTTGGCCAACATCCCAGTTGAAGGTAACACTTACACAGAGCTGTATCTGAAGGTTCGTATGCATAGAGACGATTTGAGTATCTTCCGGTGATATCAGCTCTAACTGTCAGAGACGGGTCTGCAAAGATAAACGAAGCAAAAGGGAATGGAATGCTTTGTTTTCAAATAACCTCTGTCTGCTGCCCAGCCCCTGTCAGTTAGTAGCAAATGCAGGGCTGGAAGCATCAACAGCTGTGCAGTGCTATTTGTGGTGAAGGTTAGGAACCCTTGGGTCCTATCTACAGCAATCTGAAAACAGAGTAATATATACTTAGGGTGACATGCTGTTTAGTTTTTTTGGTGAAAACATTAGCATTCTCCACTGTAAAATTATTTTAAATTCTTGAAATGATTATGTTGTAGTTTACATGTTTCTAGATCATTAGAAACCCACATCCAATGCTGGTTTTCAAAACGAGTATTTTTTTCAAAACGAGTATTTTTTTCAAAAATAGTTAAACGCAAATCCTTAACAACAGCAAAATTCAAATAAACATATAGTACTGTCACTATATTTTACTTTATTGTTAATTAGCCTCATTTTTAAAAGTAGAGATGATCTTCTCTTAGGTATACATATATTCCTCTAAATTTAAATCCATCTTGTCATGTTTTATATTTAACTTGAAGTGATCTAATTAATGGGAAAAATGGGTATTTTAAAATTAAGGTGCATCCAAGAAGGAAGCGTGAGCATACAGAGAGGTCTGGAAACTGTGCCTTGAGAGAAGTAATCAAAAGAACCTAGGACACGTGTCCTGAAAACGAGACACGAAGGACACGTGAGAACCATGTGGATGTTTGCAAAGTCTGTCGCTGGTACTGGAGTGGGCAATCTGTCATTTCAGAATGTTGAACTAAGGCCAGAAACATAAATTACAAGAAGCAGATGTACATTTATTCAGCAGATTTAAGACCGACTATCCTTCTGTTTGGTGCGCAGGATACAAAGACACGGTCTAATCTTTGTAAGAAATTAACCTAAGAAGGGCCTTTTAAATACCCAACTAGCAGCTCACAACCCTGGCTGCACATTGGAATCATCTGCAGAGCTGTAAATACTGTGGATGCCTTCGTCCCCCGCCAGAGATTCTGATTTAATTGGTTGTAGGTGTGGCCTGGGCAACTTGATTTATAAAATCCCCCAGGTGATTCTAACACTTAGCCGGGGTGACGGCTATGGAGCTGGAAAAGCAAGCTGCCTTGGAGCTGGTTCTTAGGACCGAAGGAATTGAATATTAAAATGCTCTTCCACAGGGATGCTGTAAAAAGAATTCCTTTACAAGGTATGACCAGACAGCCTATAAATTCCCTTTCAATGTTAGCATTCCAAATGTTCTGAATTCTATCAGAACTAAACTTATAAAGTTCGTGCTTTAGTTCAGCCTTCCTTTTTTTCTATCTCTTGTTTTTCTTTTGCCTGTTTTATACATTCATTGTAACTTTAATTACACAGGTGAATCATGATTAGAGTGAACGCTTCTAAGTTATGAATTTCATTATGGATTGTCCTTAAATTAGTATGACTTTGAACAAAGCCAAACTCAGTACATTTAGTAATTCAACACATATTGATGGAGAGCCTACCACAGGGTCATGTTGGAAATATCACGGTGAGCAGAAATAGATACATTCTCTGCCATAGGGGCTTATAGTTCAATGTGGGAATATTTATTACATAACCACCCCCAAAATGCAAAATTATTCCAGAGGAAAGTACGACTAAAAAGAGAAATACAGTACCACAAGAGCACCTGGCAGGGATTTCACCAGGTCAGTGAATGATGATGATTGGTGAGTTAATGATGTGAAGCTGGGGGACAGAAGGTAGTGGGGAAAAGTACTAGTGGCAGGAAGGAGCATGTGGCTCCTTTCATTTCTCTTTCCTACCTTGTATTCCTTTTTTTTTTTTTTTTTTTTTTTTTTTTTTTTTTTTTTTTTTTTTTTTTTTTTTTTTTTTTTGTTTTTTTTTGAGACAGAGTCTGGCTGTGTCGCCCAGGCTGGAGTGCAGTGGCACCATCTTGCAACCTCTACCTCCCGGGTTCAAGCAATTCTCAGGCCTCAGCCGCCCAGGTAGCTGAGATTACAGGGGCCTGCCACCATGTCTGGCTAATTTTTTTGTGTTTTTAGCAGAGACAGGGTTTTACCATGTTGGCTGGCTGGTGTTGAACTCCTGACCTCAAGTGACCCTCCTTGGCCTCTCAAAGTGCTAGGATTACAGGCATGAGCCACCCCGCCCTGCCTTTTCCTTTCTTAAGAGTAATGATTAAAAATATCAGGTAGAAAAATCTAACACACAAATCAAGAGTTTGCTAGATTAAAAAATAAATATTTGCAGGCTTCTTGTAGTCAGGAAGTTTATCAATATGTTTAAATAGCGAATCCCTATTCGCTTTGTTCTCAGATGTACTATAGCAGAAGATGAAAAGTTACAATTAGCATGTGAGAAAAGAAAGTGTTCTGTGGAAATAGGTAGAAGCTCACATTTTCTAAAGAAAATATATTGTGGAACTGGCTGGGGCCGGTGGCTCATGCCTGTAATCTCAGCACTTTGGGAGGCCGAGGTGGGCAGATCACAAGGTCAAGAGATTGAGACCATCCTGGCCAACTTGGTGAAACCCCATCTCTCCTAAAAATAAAAAAAATTAGCTGGGTATGTTGGTGCATGCCTGTAGTCCCAACTATTCTGGAGGCAGAGGTAGGAGAATAGCTTCAATCTGGGAGGCAGAGGTTGCAGTGAGCCGAGATCGTACCCGCTGCACTCGGGCCTAGTGACAGAGCGAGAATCCGTCTGAAAAAGAAAAAGTACACATGAAACTTAAGGAATGTCATACTCCTTGCTAGAGCTTAGTGATGACCTTGGCCATGGCAAAGTGGCAAGGGACAGTGGGGAGGAGAGAAGGAAGATGGCAGCACTGAGTTTCAGAGTTATCTCATTATCACTTCCACTTACCAACAAACATAATCCTGGGGACATACTGGCCATCAGGAGAAAGGTGTTTGTCAGTTGTTTCATACTAAGATAAAAAGAAAAGCATCTTTTAGTTTACTTTTCAGTTATTTTCAAACTTGTTAATACAAGAATCTGTCTATTTCCGACCAGGCACCCTAAGATATTAAAATGCACCTCTCTTCCACAAAGAGTTTATTGTATAGATGAGGAGACAAGTTATAAGCATGAAATAATAAATAAGATAGAGCAAAACATGAGATAAAGTGCTGAATGGATGTGATAAAGAGCAAAAAATTTAAGGGAGAATTTGGAAGGAGTTCCTGTGTTTGGGGAAAACATCTTGGATGAAGTAAGAGGATATTAAGGAAGAAAACAGATGTAGATGTCATTTCTAGAGAAATTAGACAAATATGAGATTTTCTTGACTATCCATTCATCAATTTTTTTAGAACTGTATTTAGCAATGCACAGTGCTTATCTTTAATGAGTGCATACTCTATTGAGAGATAGAGGTAGGAAAATGAATATTAATGATTCAGTGGGTGAGATGTTATGGTGTAGGATATGCAGGTTCAGTGGGTGCCCTGAGGAAAACCTTTAGCCCGGAATGCAGATTGCACCCTGGACTATGAGTTTCTGAAGTGGATAAGGAGGAATCTTTAAAAATGAGCAGGAGTCAATTATGTGGAAAGAAAGCCACTCCAGGGAGGAAGAGGACAGGCTGAGCATTTTCTCCTATGGCCAAGTGCTGAGGAAGGACTAAGTTTGGGGGACGCTCAAGGGCAGTGGTGAGAAGATGCTAGAGCTGTTTCAGGAGCAAGCTTAGGAATGACTTTGCACACCATGCCATAGTGTTTTCCTTTGTTCCGAAATAGGTAAGAACCACTGGAGGGATGTTAGAGGAGGAATTGTGAGCCCTATTCGGTCTGTAAAGCAATTACTCTGACAGCCACGTGGGATTAGACAGGTTTATCTTGCAGACTTGGAGCCATTTAGTCGTATTACAGTAAGCCAGGGAAAGTGAAAGAGGCTTACTAAAATAGTGGTCCTGAGTTTATAGAGAAGTGACTAATAGCAGGAATGCTTGGGATTTAGAAGCACAGGGCTTCTTGAATGCTGTGGGTGAGTAGGAGAGTCTAATCTAGCACAGTACCAATTTCAGTAAAATAGGAAATAGAGAAAGAAAAGCTATTGGAAAAGCCCAAACCAAGATGATTAATGCAGCATGGAACATACTGAGTTTAAGCTGATCATGAGATATCTGAAATATGCTTGGATAGGTAAGTTGGATGTTGTTTCATGTTTGCATAAGATGCAGGAATTATTAGTGTGTTGGAATTGATTAAAGGCAGTTGTAGATGAAGTTGTCCACTGAATATAAAATATGGAAAGAGAAAGGGGTCAAGTAGAGGGTCATCATGCCACATTAAGAAGTAGGAAGAGGAAGAGGAGCCATAGAAGAGAGGCAAAGAAGAGCTACTGGTATGGAGTACTCTTTAAGGAAGCCAGCCTGTGAAGAGGAAGGGCTGGGGACTCAAAAGGACATATGAATAGGTAGAGTGACTTTTCATTTGTTTGCTTTTAGAAGAAAAATGAAATGTTGGTATATGGTAAAAAGAATTTGCAGAGACAGAAAGCCTGAGCATCATGAGGGGTGGTGGTGAAGGAAGCTGGGAATGCATGAAGCTAAGGCACAAGAGGCATGATTAGAGTTGGCCAGAGAGCTATCTCCTCCCGAGAGAAAGGTGACCAGGATTAAGAATGGGTGTAGAGAAGCCAGGACTGCAGAGGGATGGGCACAGCAAGTAACAAAAACCCTCCAGTTACTATAGCAACAGAAAACATTCTGACTATAGGAGAGAATTTTTCAGACAAACTAAGATGATTAATTACTAAATAAAAACAGACCTGCCAAATGGATTATTAATAAAATGAAATATCTTTCTTCTCTCTAATCTATGAGATGGGATATTTGGAAGCAATCCCAGTTAATGTGGTATGACTAAGATGTATAGGAAAAATGAATCATTCATTTCAAGTAATGAGCCATAGAGAAATGTTAGTAATGATGTAAAGGAAACTTACAACCAGATTGAGGAGGACAAACTGCTCTGCGAGCTTCTGGATTTCTTTGTTCTCAGCAAACGCTTTCTTTAAAGCTATAACATAAAGAAAAATCATTAAATATCCAACTTAGCCTTGGTTAAAAGCCTTGCTCTATTTTAAGTTAAATTGCATTTTATTTATTGATTGAATGTGTTTTAAATACAATATTCTACTTTGGCCTTTTAGCAAATGATAAGTGAATTTACATCCACGGCATTGACTAGCTCTGCTTTCTATTCACTCACTCATCCTTCATTCATCAATTTATTTTTTTTCCATCTCATATTTATTGAATGGCTGCCATGTGTTATAAGCACTGTGTTATGTCCTAGGGATAGTGCAGTGGAAAGAAAAAGCATTTTTCTTTTTATAGAGCTCCAATGCTTGCATGGGAGACAAACCATAAACAAAGAAATTAATAGATGGTAATTTCAGGTAGCGATATGTACTTTGAAGAAAAATAAAGCAAAGCAAGGGGTTTAAAAACTGAGTGGTCAGGGCAGATCTTCCTGGGGAGGTAACATTGGAGTGAGGGAGTGATCCACTTTGGGGTAGGTCACTGTGGGTAGGGGAAACTGCAGCAGCAAAAGCTGTGAGGTGGGAATGAGCTCAGATGGGGAAGGAACAGCATGAAGGCCAGGCTAGAGAGAGTGAAGAAAGCAAGAGGAGAGTGGTAGGAAGGGAGAGATAGCCATTGGCCAGATTCCGTCAGCCTCATAGCGTGTGGTCAGGAATTTGGATTTAATTCTGTGATAAGAAGCCACTTGAACACCTGAGAGATAGGATCTGATTTATGTTTACCAGCCTCACTCTGGCTGCTGTGTGGACTGGCTGTCGGGTGGCCAGGTAGGTGACTGTTATAGGAGTCTAGACACGATCTGATCTTGGCTTAGACCAGGGCAGCAGCATGGAGGCAATAGGAAGGGACTGGATTTGGGCCCAGTGCAAAATGAAAAATTTCTTTTTATCCAGAAGAGAAAATCCTTTTAATCCTTCAGCAAGTCTCTGTGAAAACAGTATGCTTACAATAAAAGTGAGAAGGGAGCACCCAAAATACCCTCTAGAGGCTTGCTATGTCATTCAGCATTAACTGCCTCATCTCCTGTGTGTGAATGGCCAACGAATGACAGGAAGTCCATTTGACAGTAATTCAGTAATTCCTTTTCACCACTGCTGCCAGCTGAAGTTCTCACTGCTTCCAGAGACCAAGAAAAAGTCTAGTATAGTTGCAAAGATGACTGTATTTCCTGTGAGAAGAAGTGTACAAGCTCCCCACTTAATCAGATCTGCTCTGGCAAATACGACAGGGAGTCCAAATGCTGACACACAATGCCTGTTGTAAGAAAGATGGCAAGTTCCTTACAAGCGTTACTCAGGGCGTCTGTATCATTCACTAATTTTCTTGCTATGCAGTATGGAATAGGTGAGAGGATGTAGAAAAATAGAACCAAGAGGGGCCAGTATTTGTTGTATATTGTAAAATGAAAGTGTAGAGCCCCTTGTTTAAGAATCACTAAGAATTTTAAGACAATGATAGCAGAGTTGAAACTAAGTGTGGGAACCTTCTGAGCCCTGGGCCCTGTGTGGTGGCACAGACTTCATGCCCAGGAAGCTGGTGCTGGTTTAAGAATATATTTTGAAGATAAAGCCAGTATTTGCTGGTGTATTGAATGTGGACTGTAAGAGAAATCAGGAAGTGAAGATGAATCCTAAAGCTAGTTTTTCAAAATATGTACTAATGGTTATAACAAAATGTGGATATTTGACGTTACTTTGTAATGTGTTTTTTACTATATAATCTTTTTTATGCAACTGTGGTTCTAAGGATACAAACATGAGTGATCTGAACCCTGGCCGCAAGACTAAAAGCCTATAAAGTAAATCATATTTAGAAGAATAAAGTACCTTGACTGTGTGGGCATTCATCCAAATGATGAATAATCATCAAGGGTTTGTTGCTTTAAAAGACAAAGAGAGATTAGACAAATTTTAATGAGTAAGATTTCACATATATCTTGATGTCACTAGGTGGTGCTCTTGAGAGCTTTGAGAGAGCTCTAAGTAACCCTGATCTTTACCTTGTCTTGGATTTGTATAAAGCTTCTTCATATGTCTGAGTCCAGATGAGTTGATCACCCCAACCTAGAATGAAATGAATCAGTATATTTGAAGCTTTTGTAAATTCAGATCCAGGGCTGTTGAAAAGCAATGGTAAAGACTGGGATAAAGATACACCTGATACTAAAGAAGAAGAAAAGCCCTTAGAAAAAGTGGAAATAATTATAAACAATGATAAATCTAGAAGCAATGCAACTAAAAATAACCTGGCACCAGGTTAGCACAAGGTTTAAGCCCCAAGAGAGGAAATCTTTTCCAATTTAGTAGCAGTTGAAAGCCAACAAGAAACTGACTCCTACCTCTGGAGAGGGTCTGGGGCAGTTTGGGTCGAGAGTCCTTCGTGTCCTTTTTAGCTCCAGGTTTGACCGTGGTATCTTTGGCCAGAGTGTAGGAGAGGGCCACAAGGAGCAAGAATGCTGACACTGAAATTTTCTCCATGGCAATTCTAGTATGGAAAACCAACCAAAATCAGTAAAGCGAAAAGTAACCAGCAGTCTTCAGGGTCTGCAGGTTGCCCCACAGTGGTGGAATATGCCAGAAAGTGAGGCTCTGCTGAGACTGGACATATGAGATGGGAGTCAACAGCTCTGTTCAATGGGATTTTCCTAAGAATACAGAAGGTCTTTGACTTACAATTGAGTAATGTTGCAATAAACCCCAGGTAAGCTAAAAATATTGTAAGTCAAAATCAGAGTAGTTTCTCCTTTCCCAGGGTCTTACTTTCTGTGGTTTCAGCTCTCCACGGTCAGCTGCAGTCCAAAATAGATGAGCACAGTGCAATAAGATATTTTGAAAGAGGACCAAATTCACCTAACTTTCATTACAAGATACTGTTGTAAGTGTTCTTTTGTTAGCTCTTGATAATCTTTTACTGTGCTTAATTTATAATTTCAACTTTATCAGAGATATGTACATATAGGAAAAAACAGCAAATGTAGTGTTTGGTACTAATCTACAGCTTTAGGCATCCACCGAGAGTCATGGACCATTACCCCCACGGATGAGGGGAACTACTCTAATACACCTAACCTGGAAACCACGGCTGACCCTACCTTACACATGCTCAGAACACTCACATTAGCCTACAGTTGAGAAAAGCCATCCAACACAAAGCCCATTTTATAGTAAAGTGTTGAATGTCTCAAGAAATTTTTATGAATATTGTATTGGAAGTAAAAACCAGAATGGTTGTATGGATACTTGACATACAGTTTCTACTGAATGTGTATTGCTTTTGTGCCATAATAAAGTAAAAAAAAAATTAAGTAAAACCATTGTAAGTTGTAACTGTCTGCATATAGTATGGATATCTGTCTATTGATCCACATAGATACAGATAAAAAGATAAAGATTTCTATAGAGTTATCTATATAGATATACATTTATATAGAAATAGATATATATAGATATATTTTAAGAAAATAGATGTATATACTCTAGTAGCTAAGAAAATTTACATTTAATTTTTTTGGAGACAAGGTCTCACTCTGTTGCCCAGGCTGGAGTGCAGTGGCACAACCTTGACTCACTGCAACTTCCAACTCCTGGTTTCAAGTGATCCTCCCTCTTCAGCCTCCCAAATAGCTGGGACTACAGGCACATGCCACCATACTTGGCTATTGTGTGTGTGTGTGTGTGTGTGTGTGTGTGTGTATGTATGTGTGTTTTAGTAGAGATGGAGTATTGTCATGTTTCTCGGGCTGGTCTCAAACTTCTAGGCTCAAGCCATTTGCCTGCCCTGGCAAATCCCAAAGTGCTGGAATTACAGGCATGATTCACCATGCCCGGCCTCACACTTTAATGTTATATTTAAAAAATAAAGTACTGTACTAGAAGGCAGGTTAGGGGTTACCCCCTCTTTTCTCACCTCCCCAGTGCTTCCTTGTATGGATGAAGAATCTGAAGTTCAGAGAGAGAAAGATGTGTGAGATGGCTTCAGAACAAAGCCTTCTGGATCTTGTTATTTTGTAGTGCTAGCTCCTATCTTCCCTCCCTGAAACAATTATCCTAAACATACACACTTCTCGAACCTTAAATTAAATGGGGACATTGCCATTGAAGAAGAAGATTAAAACGGTTCTTAACTTCATTTAGAATGTGCCAACTGTGTCACTTATCTGAAGGCTACCTATACACCTCTCTCCCTAGTGTAACATTTACTCAAACTCTATTAGCTCTGGGTTAACTAAAACACACCAATGCCATGTTCTTTCCATCGAAACAACTCTTTGACCCTCTGTATGGGCAGGGTATAGGTAGGTGATAGTGGGCATACAAGTTAGTGCACGAAAGTATTTGGTGCAATTTATAACAGAGAAATAAGCCCCAAGGATCTCTCTCTCTGTCTCTTTTCTTTTTTCTTTAAACAGTCTTGCTCTGTCACCCAGGCTGGAGTGCAGTGGCGCAATCACAGCTCAACACAGCCTCTTCCTCCCGGATTCAGGTGATTCTCATGCCTCAGTCTTTCAAGTGGCTGGGACTGCAGGCATGAGCCACCATGCCCATCTAATTTTTTAGCAGAGAGTGGTTCACCATGTTGGCCAGGGTCGTCTCCAACTCCTGACCTCAAGCAATCTGCCTGCCTCAGCCTCCCAAAGTGCTGGGATTACAGGCATGAGCTACCACGACCAGCCAATATCTTAATTAAATTACCTTTTTTAATGCTATTCCACAGTTGATTCCCAGGAAAAGCTAAAGCCTTTTAACAGAAAAGTAAATGGCAAGATAAGTTTTGTGAGTGCGGAGGGAGGGAGGGAGGGAAGGAGCAAAGTGAGTTGCTCTAGCAAGTCACTAAGATTGTCCAAGGGGCTGTAACATGGAAGGCTGGAGACTTGGGATTCTGGTAAAGGGAAATACTACAAGGGCTAAAAGGGACATGTGAAACCACAGCACCCAACTCTAGTATTGCTATAGGTTTTGAATGAACTCAAACTCTGCAAAGGAATTAGTATTTTTAAGACAGAAGTTTTTCATAATCTAGTATCTTTAGTGGAAACCTTTGCTAAGCATGAGCTGATTTTTTTTTCTTTTTAAAGGTGTTGCGAAGTT